CTTTCCAGCTGATATGAGATAATTACTCAAAAACTAGCCCGAAGGCTCTTTTGGAAATCTCAGTTTCCAACCCTGTTTAAATGTAAAAACATTTCTTTAAAACTTCTTTGGGAATACATAGTTCCCTAATAACCTTGAGAAATGAACTCAACTTTATGCTCTTGACTTAACTGAAAACTCGATACTCTTTACTCGACTTGAAACCGTATACTTAACTTGGAACTGGAGCCTTAGAATGGAGTTAAAACATTCAATAAAGACTCTTGAATAACTTACTTGAACTTGCTCTTAAACCTTGCTTGACTTGACTCTAACTTCCCTTAACTTTGGTCCTAACTCGCCTTGAATTGGATTATGGATTCAAGACATATAATCGCATGTTTATAGATGAGTTTGGGAGGTATAAATGCAACTTGAAGTGTAGGAAACAACTTGGAAACATAGGTATAATACCTAGGAACATGTATGAGAAAGCATGGAAAGAATGAGGGAACATGGCGTCCTTGGCGCTCTGCAAGGCGCAGAGCGCCAGCCCTTGAAGGTCAGAAGTCACCTGCTGGCGCGCCGCCCCAAGGGCTGGACTTCAGAGTCCCCTTTGGGGCGCGTTGGCAGGCGCGACGCGCCAGCCCCTTCCCCAGAAAACCCAACTTTTCTCCCTCTTTTCTTCAACTCTAAACCACCCTAACTTCAAAGGTTCCAATCCCAACCATTAGGGATCACAAAATCCCTCAATATACAATAGATTTCAACTCAAGAACACAACCAAATCATGTCCCACAACCAACAAGAACTTCAACAACACAATCAACAACATCAACAACAACTAACAACTTCAACAACATATCCAATCCTTTCTCAAATCATAAAATGAGCTTGTTGTGTGGGGGAAAGGATCAACCCACACAAAGAACTCACATACCTTGATAGGGATCACCCCCGACGATTTCCACAACGGAACCTTGACGGAACTAGTTGATCTCCTCTTTCTTCTCTTCTTCTTCCCCTTCTTCTCTTCTTCTTCTCAAGCCCTAGCTTTTACTCTTTTAAAATGGGACAAAATGATCCAAAGATCAGCCCTATACAACAATATAATACCCAAAGAAATGGCTAGAGAAAGACCAAAATAGCCTAAATTCGACGGATTCCCTGCCAACTGCCCAACTTTCAATGGCCATAACTCGCTCATACAAACTCGGAATCGAGCAAACTCGGTGGCGTTGGAAAGATCATTCCACAAGCTTCACAACCATAACTGGAACTACTCCTAACTCATCCTGATCTAGGAGTTACGACTGCTCAAAGTTGGCCAAAAACTCACTGATTTTCACACTTGGCCAAATTTCCAGATTTTAATTTATTTTTTTTTCATAGTTATTTCAAATTGCGGATGTTACAAAAATGAATTTATTTTTATGAATTTTCTTTTTAGTATCAAAATTAATTAAAAACGGCAAATATTCAAAAATTTATGTGGGGCGGGGTAGGGTGAGTTGAAAATGAAAAAAAGTTGTTATGCACGGCGGGTTAAAATAATTGCGCGTTAAGCTCAACCCTCCCCGTCTCATTGCCATCTCTAATCAATAAAACAATAACTCCGTTTCAAACAAGTTGGAGATAAATATGGAAGTAAACAATATTTTCCTCCACACTTTATATGCTAGTCTTATTTTCTGAGTGCGTGAAAATTCTGACTCTGCCATGCATGTGACTAATTGCTACAATATACATGGTAGTAGATTTAAAAACATAGTAAGAGAAAGAAAATTAAAAGAATAACATAAAACATTTAATTGGGAGTGAAACTCACAAATTGAGAAGATGTGGAAGTATATAATGAGAAGCTGTATAATCATCACCAGCTTCGTTCAAGTACCCTTCTCTTTCTTCATCCTTCATTCCTAATACACAATTCCCAAAAATAATTGAGAGATACACCACAAATTAACAAAATTAAACTTTTTTAACAAAATGTTCCAAGTTTACAAGTCTTTTTTAGCAGGTGAAAACAAAATAGGAAGAAGATAATAATGAAAGATGGAAATGAAGATACCTTTGGAGTAATTCGAACTTGAAGCTCATAATTTCCCAAGCTCTCTTGCTCTTGTTGAATTCTCTTAGCACTATTATCTACAGAAGAGCTGCAATTATCTACTTGGATCAATTTTAGTGTCATTATATCTCCAATACTCTCCGGAATCTCCTCCAGTGTATCGAACCCATAAAGTATTAGTTGCTCAAGCATAGGAAAATTATCACTACCAGTTGCTTCCCACCTTTCCAGATCTGCTTCACCAATTTGTAGATATTTTAATTTGCGAAACACAACATCTTCATCTACTTTCCAATCTGTTCCAGAAAATGCATACTCCCCGCTGATCACCTCAAGATTAGGTAAATTAGCCAGCAAATTCACAACTTCCCATGGTATATAAGTACCTAATAATATCAATTTCTTGATATTAGGACTTAATTTCTTGATTTTACAAGACAAAATATCTCCAGAGAAAATGTTCAGGTCAATGCTCTCCAGCTTTATGAGTAGCGTCTCCAGCTCCTCTAGAAGAATTAGAGAATCAAGAATTTCAGACCAGTCAGGATTCTCAGATTCATCTATGAACTTTAGCTTTTTTAGATTGGGAGTTCTTTTTATGATTTCCACAATAAAATGAGAGTTATAGAGATAAAGATTTTGCAAGTTATTCAGAAACAAGGGATTTTCTGCCTCAAGAGGATTAGATATATATAGTGGAGAATCAATATCCACATGTCTTAGCTCTGACATTCTCCAGATATCTACTGGCTCCTCCAACTTTGTTGATCTGTTGACACCAATATTTTCTTGAAGAATTATGATCTGTAGATTTCTCAATTTGTCTAGTGAAAGAGCTTTATCAATTCTTGCAGCAACATATCTCAAATGTACAAGTTCAGGTATTACACAAGAGAAATCGTACCAGAGTGATAATACATCCAACACCTTAAGCAACTTGAACTTTGAAACAATGGAACAAATCCTTTCTGGAAAATCGTAGTAATAAAAATATTCCATTGAAATAAAGGTACGAGTTATACCACTACAATGCATTGGAGGATAAACTTGCTTCTCTTGAAGTTCAGACAGAATGATCACTCGTCGTTGATCATCTATGGATTCTGAGGGCATGGGAACATTCCCATTCATGATATACACAACATTTTCAGTATGAGTTTCACTTAGGCATAGTTGGCGAAGAAGATCATGAATTTTGCAAGTTTTCATCCTTCCATTAGCCGTTAATCTATCAATCAAAATTAGACTTCTATCAATTAGCTCTTGTAGATATTCCTCTGCCACAACTTCTAACCTTTTATTGTTTCTTGCCTTTACGAATTGCTCAGCAATCCAGAGCCTAATCAACTTGGAAACATTAATCTCTCTGTCTTCTGGAAAACCTCCAACATAGAGAAAACAAGCCTTTAAATATTGGGGCAAGTAATTGTAGCTCAGAGAAAGAATTGATTGGCACCGTTCGGACACCGTACCAAAGAATGAGTTCAGATTTTCCTCAACCTTCTCCCAATTATCATGTGTTGGGTCCATTTTTCCAAGAAGTCCAGCAACGACAACAACCGAGAGAGGTAACCCTTGACATTGTTGTACAATATGCTTCCCTGTTTCTTCTAGCAGAGGAGGACATGGATCTTTTTTGAATATTTTCTCAGTGAATAGATTCCAACTATCTTCTAGACTTAGAAAAGACTTACTATGAGGCGGAAAATCAGGGCAGTTGACATAATCAGCAACATACTTGAGCCGAGTAGTTAATAGAATTCGGCTTTTATTGTTATCATTTGGAAATATTCTTTGCATTTGGTCCCATGCCTCAGTACTCCAAATATCATCTATGACAATTAGGAATCTTCTACCCTTCAAACCTTTATACACAATCTCCATTAGTTCATCATTGCTCATTTCTTGATTGCTTCCTGTAATTGAAGAGGCAACTTCAAGAAGCATTTGTCTCTGATTGTATTCTTCGGAGATAGTGACCCATGCATGTATATCAAATCGAGAACGAATAGATGAATCATCATAAACTTTTCTGGCAAGAGTTGTCTTACCTATACCGCCCATACCAAAAATTGGTATGACAATTAACTCATCTGTTAGAAGCATTTGTCTCTGATTGTATTCTTCGGAGATAGTGACCCATGCATGTATATCAAATCGAGAACGAATAGATGAATCATCATAAACTTTTCTGGCAAGAGTTGTCTTACCTATACCGCCCATACCAAAAATTGGTATAACAATTAACTCATCTGTTTGGGCAGTGAGGCGATCAAGTATGGTGTTGAAGTCATCTTCCATCCCAACAGTAGTATTTTCCTCATGAATTGTAACTTTTTTTGGTGAGAAGGAAGTTGTTGCTAATTCTGTAGATTTGCTTCCATGCTTATTAAACTCAACCACCATCACCTCCTTCCTGAGAGAGTCAACATCTTTTTCCACTTTTAGCAATTCTTCCTTGAAGAATTTACAAGCCCCTTCTCTACTCTCTGTGCAATCAGTTAAAATGATGCTTCTTAGGCTTGAATCAACTTTATCTTCTGCTTTGTATACTACATTTTTTATCCTCTTTTCTACAAGCTTGGAATTGAAACTCGATAAATTAATTACTATTTAAAAAATATATATAAGATCAGTAAGATTTAGATGAGTATACTAGTGAATTACATACCTTAAGAGTTACAATATCCTTTGTGATAGTTTTGTCAAGGAAAAGTTGCAGAGCAGAAAGATTTTGATAGATAGATTGAACTTGTTGTTGTGTATAGCTTGGACAAACGAAATATTGATTAGGTTTGAAGAGTTGTTCCAATGTATACATAAGTGAAGAAAGAGCAGCATAAGCCATTTCTCTTTGTTTGCTGGAATAACTAAAAGATAAAGAGGCTTTGCAGATTTAAACTCTACGCTATGTTATTCTTTTTTCTTAGGCTAAGAGATTTTGTCCACATAATTTACTTTTCTTTATCACACCACCTTTTTCTAAATGGGGACAAAGACATAGGATACTCACCCTTTAAAAAAGTCATAGTATAAATATTTGTAAATGATTTAAATATAATTACAATATGTATAAATAGTAATTCATAAAATTAAGTAATCAAAAGGGAAGGAGTGTAACACCAAATTATAGCTTAACATCAAATGGACAATCTAACAATCATAGCAAATAGTTTTAAGAAATTGTATCATTTTGATACGTAGATTTCACATGAGTTATTAGTTGTGCAGATGTCATATAATGTTTGAAGAGAATATATGAAAATTTATCAATATCCATTACATTATTATAGCATCACAATAAATTATACAATTTCAGATGTACATTATGTTCATCCCACAAATATTCGAAAATAAGATGAAATAGAGTAGACTAAAAACAATAAAATAGCTAATGAATTCTAAAACTTTTAAATAACAAAAATTAAAGAGAGAAACAATTCCAGTTTAAAAGAATGGAGGAACTTCCTCAATAACTAACAAAAACATAAACGAATTTACCTCTTTTTTTTGCATATGTGATGAGCAATAACATCCGTCAGCAATCATCCATCAACAATTATACATTAGAATAACTAAGTGTATGCATTAACATAAAGTGAATGTGATGAGCAATATAATTACATCCACCAATAATCATCCATCAACAATTATACATCGGAATAACAAAGTGTATGCATTAATATAAAGTGATTTTGAAAACAACTTTTTGGTATATATAATTATAAGTCAGGAATTATAAAAGTCATTTAAAAATTGATGATATACATAACATCTATGAGAATTAGATTGGTTAAAGTTGGGATATGTAAAGTTTCTGACTAAAATCTAAATATGTGTGCCATATTAAGATGTCGAGTAATTCAAAGGACATTTTGTTGTTTAATGTTTAAGGATATTTTAGTTTTTAAAGGATATAATTTACTGCTTTTTGTTGTTACGAAATACTTCATCTGCCAAACTCCATTTTAGAATTTTTGTGAATTAATTCTATCTAGAAATATAATGGATTAATACCACATAATTATTATTTAATATTATATTAATTATTTTAGGAATAATTTCAGAGACCTCCCCTCAGGTTTGGCTTCATAACACTCACCTCACTTGTGATTTACAATATTACACTTGCCTCCCTTTATTTGAGTTTTTGGTAACAATTCATTTAACTTATTAATTATTAATTATTAATGTAAAAAAATTATGATACGACTAATTTACCCTTTTTAATATATCCTATTTTGTAAAAAAAGCTTTTTTCAAAAAAAATTGTTATTAAATAAAAAAATTCATCTTTCATTAAGAATATTTTTCATCTTCCAAAAATAAAAATAAAAAATTCATCTTCCATTAATCCATTCTGCTTAACTTGTTTTAGAGTTGATGTCACCGATTTGTTTGTCTAATTTTACTGAAAATGAAGAATCAAATGTTGAAACTTTAAAAATGGAGTATCTCAATTTTCATATCGACTGGAATGCAAACAAATTAACATACATTTTGTTCTAATTTTGATCATTTTCTTTTCCTGTTCAGTAATTAAGTCATATTAGAATATTATATTTTTATTGACACTATTCTAAGTGTTTTACCGTCAATTGCATAAATTATAAATTCATTTAAACAAAATGGTTTCAATGGAAGATGAAAATAAATCGATTATCAACGAATTAAAAAAAAAAGAATTTTGAAGAGGGCAAATTAGTCAGATTATAATTTTTATATTAATAATTAATAAGTGAAATGAATTGTTACCAAAAACTCAAAATAAGGGAGGTAAGTGTAACATCGTAAACCACAAAGGAGGTGAATGTTATTGAGTCAAACCAGAGGGGAGGTCTTTGAAATTATCCCATTATTTTATTAATACTAATATTTAAATTTAGTGAAGGGGTAAAACCGTAATTCAACTTTGAAGTTAAGATCTTCCCACTTATAATAATACTAGTTCCTGGGAACGCGCGTTGCACGTTTGTCCCATATATACAATTATTATAAAGTTGAATTATTATATAGAAAATGTTGAAACTAAAAACATTAGTTTTACCAATTTATATTTTATTCATTAAATAAAATTCCTAATAATCGAATAGTACATTGACCATCAAGCAAGAAATATGGAAAACTAATTAAGATACTATAGCCTCTAATAATATGAATATATCTATATGACTTATCCCCAATAATCTCTCATTACGCTCTCATATCAGTAAGTAAACAAATATGTTGCTACTTAAAGAAACCATATCAGTAAGGAAAGGATAAAAGAAAGAAAATATTATAAAAGTACATTTAAATCTACCTTAATAATTAATGATCCAAGTGCTTCACTACTTTAACTGTACATAAAATGGATAACCTTTGGTAGGGATTCTTCTCATGAAATAAAAAGAATGATTTATATAGATAAAAGTAGAGGAATATCAAAGACATCCTAAAGTTTTAAATGAAATATTTAAAAGTTAGGAATATTAAGAGTACCAATTGAATAGGTAATTATATTAGTTATGAATTATGAAGGTGGATATTTAAAGCAAAAGAAGAAGAAGAAAAATAATAAATAAGTAAATAAAAGAGAGAAAAACATTACGGCAAATGATATTTAAATAAATAGTGTTATCATATTATTTATAGTGAACAAAAACTAACCACATCATAATAATAAGACTTCAAATATAATTCTTTGATTTTTCCTATACATGAAAGTATTAATTACTTTTATGAACTGCATAAAATACAAAATGCACATAAATTTTCATAAAGTCAAATACTACCACATTAATTAAGTTATTTAAATTATTTTAGAGAAGGGGAAAAGGTTTAGTTAGAGTATCATATACAAGTTTTCACGTACTAAATAAATGCACATACTTTTATGGATATTTTAATCTTTTAATTTTTTTTATTTTACACATTTTCACTTGTAGTATTTATCATCATAATACTAATATAGTAATGTGATTATTATTTAATATTTAATTAGTTAAATATTTTGAATTAAGATAGGGGTAATTAAATGATGATTCAACTTTAGACTTATTCTTTATATATATATATAATGAATGGTACATAGCAAATAAATTTTAAAATAATTGAAAATCCAAAAAGAGCAAGAAAAAGTTAAATGATTCTCTTGACCACATAGTTATGCCCGTCACTTGGACTTCCTGAATACTATTAATTTACAGTTTATATTTATTACCGAAAATTTTACAAATCTAAAATACTAAAAAGAAATTCTAAAGGTTGAATAATTGTGGAATATGAAAGTAATTCCACCACATTGAATTGAATGAACTAATGAGTGAGAATGTATCTGTTTTCTTGTTTCATTTTAATGAAATATATTATTAATAGATAGGTAAATTTACTTTTTAATACCAATAATTAAAGGATTAGTGTTTAATTAAATACTTAAATGACTATTCAACCTATAAAGGATAATTTGATAATTCAACTTTTAACTTTTTTTTGTTCCCACTTTTAGTATATATATATACTCCATACAGTTAATGTGACAATAACCTGAAAATAAATTTAGCTTATCAATTAAAAATTAAAATGACATAGAAAAAGAGAAGTAAACACAAGAATGAGAAAAATATGACAAAATAAGAGTATAATAATTGTTCCACAAAAATTCTGATATTTATAAACAGTTGGAAAAAAAAAGCCATCTAAAATGGTAAAGATAAATCTATGATACAAAATATCGTTCTAATTAGGATCAAAACAAATATTAATATTTCAAAATTAAAAGAAAGTACCTGAAAATTGCCTAATGATTCGCATCAACAGGAGGCAATTGGTAAAGAAAAATTACTTTTCCATGATATATATATATAGCTAAAGATTTATAGGATAAGATGAAAAGGTGAAGAGTTGTTTAGTTAATTTTCAGAAGTTAGTGATCTTAGACATGGGGGAGAGGAAAGGTTGATTGTTTTTACTAATAATTCAATACATTTAATTACACTAATTATAGAGAAAGGATAAGAAATTTAATTCATTTAACCACACTAATTATAGAAAAAGAATAAAGGATAAAAGCTTTAATTATCTTTTCTTTTTTTTATAAAAACGCTTTATCTAATCAACAAATTTAATCCATTTAAACATAACCTTTTTTAAAAGAATTAGATAAAAGCGTTTTTATATATATAAAAAATAAGCAATTCCTAACAACTTTCTATGAAATAATTTCTAACAATTTTCTATGAAATATTTTTGTCTTTCAAAGTTTGACTTTACACCTTCTTATTTTTAGTATTTAGTATAATATAATATAATTATTACTTAGTATTTAAATAATTAGATATTTAATGATATTTTAATTTAGTGTGAGGGTAATATGGTAATTCAACTTTGTATAGTGGAGCTTCCCACTTATAATAATATATGATATGATGATTAAGAAATCTTTCAAAATATCAAATAAACCAATAAGGATTCTTATTAACATTTCAAAAAAGTTTTAAAAACCACACTTATCCTTTTGGACTACTGTTGCTTTGTTTTTGGGCTCTGACCCATTCCGGTTGTTTTTGCCATTGGACTCTTTCCATCTTCTGCAGAAGTTGTATTTTCATTATATTTGTTGATCTTTGTCGTATAAGATTGTTTCTTTTTCAACTTCTTGGATGTAAGGTTTATCAAGAGAGTATTCTCGGATTTGGTGAAGAAATGCCCAAAAATAGTCCGATTCATATTCGTCAAGTTTGGAATGACAATCTCTGATGAAAATGGGAATTTACCCAAGTGTGTAACTGATAAATATTGCATATGACAATTCGATTCAGTTATTTCAAATCTGAACGATCATGTTTATGCTAACGACTCAATTGTGTAGGATTGCAACCACCCATCTCCACTAACTTCTCAAGAGCAACGTTTCAGATTACAACTCCGCAATCTTAGGAGTTGAAGTTTAGGGTACAGAGAGATGACAAAAAATAATAGCCAAGAATGACAAAGGCTTGTGTGAATAGCAAGGGCATCAACGTGTACATGACTCAATTATATTTACAATAATATCCTTGACATAAGGACTAACTCTAGTATCTCAACTTCACAGTTCACTCAAACTGTTCTAACTACTCTCCAACAAGTCAAACTCGCTTCTTGTTACAAACCTCACCCACACAATTACACTCTTTAATTTAGAAATTATTACAACTCAATAATAACCCTAGAACAACTCAATAAAGATATATTAAAGCTGCAGCTAGGTAAAAACTAATTGAAAAACTCAAAGCCAGTGCACTGCACTTTGCATGGAGGGATCTTTTCCAAACTCCATTAGAGCTGTTAAAAGCATCGAAGCTCTACAAGATACCTCAGTCACGCGCCCAACAAGTGGTACCTTCACTGTCTCCCTATTCTGTAAAGGTTTATAATCCCAGCTGCAAACATTGTTCGCAAAACATTCAAAAACAGGAATAAACTATACAATCAAACACTATATTATGTATATATTAGAATTAAGAATTGACTAAGAATCAAAGATGGAAATGAACATACCATAGGAGTAATTTGAACTTGAAGCTCATAATTTCCAAAGCTTTGTTGCTCTTTTCGAATTCTCTTTGCACTATTCTCTACAGCAGAGCTGCAATCAACTATTTGGATCAATTTTAGTGTCATTATATCTCCAATACTCTCGGGAATCTCCTCCAGTTCAAACAACCAATTCAGTATTAGTTTCTCAAGCATAGGAAAATTATCACTACCAGCTGCTTCCCACCTTTGCAGATCTTTGGACCTAATTAGTAGATGTTTTAATTTGCGAAACACAACATCTTCATTAAGTGTCCAATCTGTTCCAGAAAATGCATAATACCCCTTTAGCACCTCAAGATTGGGTAAATTAGACAGCAAATTCATAACTTCCCATGGTATTTTAGTATTTGATAATGTCAACTTCTTGAGATTAGGAGGGAAAACATCCCCAGAGAAAATCAACGGGTCAATGGAGTTCACCTCTATCTTTAGTGTCTCCAGCTCCTCTAGAAGAATTAGAGAATCAGGAATAGAAGGATAGTCAGAAATTTCGCACATCTTTAGCTTTTTTAGATTGGGAGTTCTTCTTATGATTTCCTTAGAAAAAGGAGAGAACTGGAGAGTAAGTGTGTGCAAGTTATTGAGAAACAAAGGTTGTTCTCCAACACTATTATTTTCTCCCTCAAGAGGATTTGAAATGTATAGTGGCCATTCAATATCCAAATGTCTTATCTCTGTCATTCTCCAGATATCTAATGGGTGGACCAACTCTGTCTGTTCAAAACCTACAAAAATTATGATCTGTAGATTTCTCGATTTGGCTAGTGAAAGACCTCCCTCAATTCTTGCAGCAACATATCTCAAATGTACAAGCTCAGGTATTACACTAGAGAAATCGTACCAAACTGATAATACGTCCAACACCTTAAGCAACTTGAACTGTGAAACAATAGAGCAAATCACATCTGGAGAATCTAAATCAAGAGATTGCATTGAAATAAAGGTACGAGTTATACTTGTTATATCATTGATATAAACTTGCTTCTCTTCATGTTTACGCAGATCAATCACTCGCCGCTGATCATGTATGACTTCTAATAAGGACACGAGAACATTCCCATTCATGTAATACACAATATTTTCAGTATGAACTTCACTTAGGCATAGTTGGCGAAAAAGATCGTGAATTTTGCAAGTTTCTATCCTTCCATTAGCCCTTTGTTTACCAGTCAAAATTAGACTTCTATCAATTAACTCTTCTAGATACTCCTCTGCCACTACTTCTAACCTTTTATTGTTTCTTGCCTTTACAAATTGCTCAGCAATCCATAGCCTAATCAACTTGGAAACATTAATCTCTCTGTCTTCTGGAAAACCTCCAACATAGAGAAAACAGGCCTTTAAATATTGGGGCAAGTAATTGTAGCTCAGAGAAAGAATTGATTGGCACCGTTCGGACACCGTACCAAAGAATGAGTTCAGATTTTCCTCAACCTTCTTCCAATTATCATGTGTTGGGTCCATTTTTCCAAGAAGTCCAGCAACGACAACAACCGAGAGAGGTAACCCTTGACATTGTTGTACAATATGCTTCCCTGTTTCTTCTAGCAGAGGAGGACATGGATCTTTTTTGAATATTTTCTCAGTGAATAGATTCCAACTATCCTCTAGACTTAGAAAAGACTTACTATGAGGCGGAAAATCAGGGCAGTTGACATTAATCAGCAACATACTTGAGCCGAGTTAGTTAATTAGAATTCGGCTTTTATTGTCATCATTTGGAAATATTCTTTGCATTTGGTCCCATGCCTCAGTACTCCAAATATCATCTATGACAATTAGAAATCTCCTTCCCTTCAGACCTCTATACACAATCTCCATTAGTTGATCATCGCTCATTTCTTGATTGCTTCCGGTAATTGCATAGGCAACTTCAAGAAGCATTTGTCTCTGATTGAATTTTTCGGAGATGGTGACCCATGCATATTTATCAAATCGAGAACGAATATATGAATCATTATAAGCTTTTCTAGCAAGAGTTGTCTTACCGATACCGCCCATACCAAAAATTGGTATAACAGTTAACTCGTCTATTTGGGAAGTGAGGCGATCAAGTATGATGTTGAAGTCATCCTCCATCCCAACAATAGTATTTTCCTCAATTGTCCTTTTTTCTGGTGAGGAGGGAGTTGTTGCTAATTCTGCAGATTTGCTTCCCTGCTCGTTAGACTCGATCTGCACCACCTCTTTCCTGAGAGAATCAACATCTTTTTCCACTTTTACCAATTCTTCCTCAAAGAATTTACAAGTCTCTTCTCTCATCTCTGTGAGATCTGCTAGCAGAGTGATGATATATCTTAGGCTTGAATCAACTTTCTCTTCTGCTTCGTATACTACATTTCTGATCCTCTTTTCTACAACCTTGAAATTGAAACTCGATAAATAAGTTATTGTTAAAAAATATATATATAAGATCAGTAAGATTTTGATAACTATATATACTAGTGAATTAATTACATACCTTAAGAGTTTCAATATCCTTTGTGGTAGTATTGTCAAGGAAAAGTTGCAGAGCAGAAAGATTTTGATAGAGAGATTGAACATGTTGTTGTGTATAGCTTGGACAAACGAAATATTGATTAGGTTTGAAGAGTTGTTCCAATGTATACATAAGTGAAGAAAGAGCAGCATAAGCCATTTCTCTAAAAGATAAGAGCCTCGCAGATTTAATGTCTCTGCCTGAGATAATTTACATGAATTTGGACAATTTTCTATTTAACATCTACATCACAACCACACAACTTGTGGTTCATGGATGCAAAACTGTGGATTGACTAAGTCAAAGTGAGATAAAAAAAAAATGAAAGATAAAGACATAATAACATGTCAAGTTGTATTAATATAATATACTTCTAATGAAAAATAAAGGATCTCTTGGAGTTTTCCTAAAGAATTTTCAAACATCAGTCGTTCAGATTTCTGATTCATATACATTGGATTCCAACTTGTCAGAGACATTGAACCCTGTTGTAAAATAGAATAATTTACATTGAATAATGAAGACATCATGTGTCAAGTTGGACGAATATAATAAACTCTCAGTACAAATTTTCCTTGAAATTTATAGGCATAATACATAAATATGACATTTAACTTAACCTCATTTTATATTTATGCCCTCCAACTTTGAATGTGCACAAGTAGACACTTGAATTTGTATAAAATTGAACAAATAGACACACACGTCCTACGTGGCATTCTACATGTCAATTTGTGTCCTATGTGTATTATGCTACATAGGACTCATATGTCTACTTGTTCAACTTTATACAAGTTTAAGTGTCTACTTGTGCACACAAAAGTTGAAGGGTCTAAATGTGAAATGAGGCCAAGTTAAAAGGGACATTTATGTATTATGCCAAATTTATATTATCATAAAATGTCATGATGTATTGAGCTACTTAAATTAATAATACCGTCTAGAATTGCGTACAAAAAAAACACATAGAATGAAGATTAACCACCCCACAGTCTTACTTGAAACAACAAACCAACTCTTATCCAAAGGGTTGAGATAGGCCTAAACCATTAGAAACACATTTTTCCCCAACCAAACTAAAGCTAAATAAAAGCACAGATAGATGATTGGAAGAAAAGAACAAAGGGTTCAAAAATGCTTTTAAAATTTATTGGCCAAACACTAATTGTTTCTTACCAAAAGTGTTTTCTTTAAGAAAAATAATTTTCATAATAAGCTAATTTTAAAAGTTTCGACAAAATAAATCCTTCTCTAATACATATAATTGGTAACTTAATTAATTATGACATGGTAAGTTTTACTTCCATTAACCATAATTTCTCAATTTTACTATTATAAAAAAAAAGGTAAATTGACTATTTTATTCACTTACTATTCGATGGAAAACTCAAGTGTATCTTTCCGCTGTGCTATTTTTCTCATTGCTTGCATTTGTGGTATGTACGCATCTACTATTACATTATATTATTAAGTATAAATTATACCTACAACTTAAATAAAATTATCAATAAAGTTAATGTTATTAGGGTCGTGCTATCGATAACTAGTTTACATATACAAACACTAGTGGCAAAAAACTCCATGTTTCGCATGGTCCCAATATTTATTCATGAAGTAATATATATATATATATAAAAGAGAATCTTAGGCCAGTCTACGTGGTCCACCACAAACCAGAATTCTCTTCATGTTTACGCCGACCAATCACTCGCCGCTGATCATGTATGACTTCTAATAAGGACACGAGAACATTCCCATTCATGTAATACACAATATTTTCAGTATGAACTTCACTTAGGCATAGTTGACGAAGAAGATCGTGAATTTTGCAAGTTTCTATCCTTCCATTAGCTCTTTATTTACCAGTCAAAATTAGACTTCTATCAATTAACTCTTGTAGATACTCCTCTGCCACAACTTCTAACCTTTTATTTTTCTTGCCTTAACGAATTTCTCAGCAATCCTTAGCCTAATCAACTTGGAAACATTAATCTCTCTGTCTTCTGGAGAACCTCCAACATAGAGAAAACAAGCCTTCAAATATTGGGTCAAATAATTGTAGCGAATTGATTGACACCGTTCAGATACGGTACCAAAGAATGAGTTCAGACAAAATAAATGGAGCCCACAGTGGACAATGAAATATACTTTAACGGAAAACAAAGCTGCAATAATCTGAACCAATGAGAAAAAAGAAATCAGCTCAAACGACTCAACTACCCTCAACAGGCAAGCAAGGTATGTTGACCTGTTGCCTGCTTAAGCTGGTGAAACTCCCTTTTATAATTACTATATACTAGACAGAGGTGGCCCGTACTTGTTGAAAGATATTTGTGAGCTAAATGCACACATACAGAGACAGTCTCACACACACACATATTTCTGTATTTATATACATAGATGTTATATATATAGTTGACAATTGTTTGTGGCTGCGTTATTTACATATTGCACTATTTACGTAGTGCTGCATCTTCCCTGCTTTCCTGCAGTTTTAAGTCAGAGCTTAAGAAGAAGTACCTGCGCAAGAAGAGAGAAAATGAATTTAAGTTCAACGTTGGAATATTTAGTTATACATGTATATCTATGTATGCATTTTTATGTTATGATTTTAGCCATTTTGACGACCTTATAATCTTCTCCTGTTTGATAAGAGTTGCATTTGTGAACAATAATATAATCAAATTGTAGCAGGTATAGTGTAGTGGTAAAAGTGTGATTGTGAAGTAAATAAATCAGTGTGAAGTATATATATATAAGGATATCTACGACACTGTAAAGAGCACAAACCTAAAGCCAACCACTAAAGCAGTGGCTTTAGGTACCAAATAAATTAGGGCGTCAAAATTAGAAATTTCCGTGGCTCCGAAAGAAGCAAAAACTCCAAGTTCAGTTGAAACAGACAATACGAACATATATATCCAAAAACATAGATTTGATTAAACGAAAAACACAACTCGAGATCTAACCAAAAGCAGAGCAAGCACAGAGTAAAACACATAAACAGTAAACCCAAAAGATGAAGGAGATACATACATACGTTACATGAGATATTATCTGGTGACAAGATGTGATATTATTGACGCCACCTTTAGACTTTAAAACTAACATTACTATATGATAATGAACTATTAGTAACCTTAACTCAATAAAAACTTAAGTCACATCAAATATTTATATAATATCTATATTCAATAGACATGTCGTAGTGCTGCTGGGATCATCGCCATATTAGGCTGCCACAACAGTAATTAAAATTCCGAGACATCCATCTAACATAGCAGTTGAGACATGAAAAATGTAATCCTTAAATCTTAAAAGCTTCAAAAGAAGGAAGAACCAATGCAGAACCTAGCTAAGACTGAACAGCAGAAAAAGGGTGAACCACAGAGGGGTTCATGGGCCGTGAACAGGACCACAACCCGTCACCCTCGTCGTGTTTCACATACAGCAGGGCACGGAGGTCCACTAGCCCCTACACTGACCGTGGAACCCCACACGGTCCATCAATATGCTCGTGAAAGCATGCCAGAGACCCCTGTCACGCCCCGAGGCTATCCCCTTGACGTAAACATGGGACCTAGGATCAGGAGTGACCCCAGGCTAACCCTGAAGCTGACATATCATAAGCATACTAAAACAACTGAATAAAAAGATACTATGCTGAAGCCAAAACAAGAGATAACTGAAAGATGGGGAATACCCAAAACTGATCTGAATAAATAAAATGTACTATGAGTTTCGTGATCCTAAACAATCACTCTAAGCTAAAGTTGAATCGACATGCCCCCAGCTAACTCTAGCAAAACTGAAAACTGAAATGAAAGACTAAATGTGAAAAAAACATGTCTATTGTCCTCGAAGTATGAGGACTCACCACTGAAGCTGCTGAATGCGGACCGATAATCGATCTAAGCGTGATCTGGATGCTGAGTACTGTTGACACCCAATTTTGACCCTCCCCGATAGGAATAAATTTTTAAGCTTATTTAATTTCAAATAATTTGAAATAATTAGCTTTGCGAGGTTCAAATATTTTTTCAAGTTACTTTTAAGAATTTTAGTTACTTTTCATAATATTTTAAATATTTCAAATAATAAATATATGTATATTTTATATATAATTAGTATATTTTATAAACAAAAATCACCTCAAGATGTTACATTTTTAGATAAGTACTTTATTAATTTAGTTTAAATCATATTTGCCATTTCGAATATTAGTTCGTATTTTAAATTAATTACCTTATAATCGAATTAATTATTTTATTTCGTTAGGATTAAGAAGCTCATTAATTGATTTATACTAATTCATCTTTTATTTATTTTAGCCTAATCACCAACTAAACTAATTTGTCTAGATTTTTAATTCCAATTGGCTACGATTGAAATTCATACGGTCATTTTTCTAAATTACAATTTTAGTGATCCTTCAACTAAATTGCAAGACCAAGAATTTGGGCCTTTCCTTCAAATTTTCAGCATCCTAATCTTGCCAACCCAGGCCCATTTCTTCCCAAAGAAACCAATTTCAGCAATTCCAACTTTCCTCAACCCCAGCCCAAACCTTGTTCTCAAAGAAGACCCATGCGTCTCTTTCAACGTTTAGAAGCAGCTTGCAAGCGCTAGCAACAATTTCAGACGCGTACAACTCAACCTCCGACCCCGTACGCGTCTTCTTCTCCCTCACGCGTCAACAACAGCACCTCCATCAACAAGTTCACGGCGTGAACTCGAGGACATCAACAAATACACAGCGATTCCAAACGGAAAGCAAAGCGCGTCAATTCAAGCGGCGTCAAATAGACGGAAGGCAAAATTCTAACGTCTCCAAAGACAGAGGACGCGTCTCCTTCCTCAAGCTAGTACGATCTTATACAACTTTTCCTCGATTCCAGCTGCTGTTTCGTCCTCGCCAGCACGAGATAAGGCCACGTCGCCCAAGGACAATCGAATCGATCAAGAGCGTCCATCTCCTCTTTCCTCTTCTGGAATTGGGCGAAATTTCAGAAAAAAGGTGTCTCAAGGTTTCTGGAGTTTGAATTTCGAAATGGGCCCAATTCCTATCCAAATTTCATCAGTTTCCCCCAAAATTCCGAACCCTACTTTTCCTCTATATAAACCCCCTCTTTTTCTTTGTTAGGGGTTGGATTTTTTTTTAGCAATAGAACAGAGAACAACTTAAGCAAAAAAGACATACTAAATACATTTCAAGAAACCAGAGGAGATAGTCAGTTTCAGTGTTCGGGTCCAACGTTCTGCTTGGATTTCTTGGTTATTGCTCGAGTCGGAACGTGCGTGGTGAAGTCGTGGTTTCCTTGCTCATTTTCGTCTCCGTTCACTGCACTTTGAAAGGTAATACTCATTTTTCGTTTCAAGCATTTTGCTTTTAACGTGTTGTTGCTTGATTCTTGATTGTGAAGATGTTTACATGTTAGCATTTGGGAATGTTTCTGACTCATTGTTGGCTGCGAATCAGTGATAAAGTTTGTTCAATAGTCCTTTGCTGTTTGTTCGTTCTTCGTTTTCAAAATGGTTTTAATACTCGT